TGTGTAATGAATATCAACCTCAGAAGGAAACCAGCAATTGAAAAAATAAAATAAAAATCCTTTAAAGCGCTCCGATGAATACATTTAGATTTATGTAATAGTATACAGAATGAAACCGGATATTAGTATAAATATTTGTGCAATAATGATGAAGATTGATGCTATGAAAGTCAAAATTGTTTTCAAAGGACAATCTTGAGTTAAATATGTTTAAAAGGATAAGAAGAGATAAAAAGAATATTTAATGTGTCAGGGAACTAATAATGATATTAATAACGGTAATAATGATAAACACGAACATAAGCAGACTTCATATATTAAGATAAAGAGAAATAAAACAAAATAGACGTGAAAAGATTTAAAGTTTTTATTTTGCTTTTCAAGCAATTAAATTGATGACGGACCTTGTTTGTATAAATCATTATTGAATACATTGATATTCAATAGGTGACATAATCCACCTTCGGAAAGAAAATCGTCAAGGAGACTTTTGAACCGTGTTGTAGTTTCACTGCAACGGAGGTTCACTGGCAGTCTGTTCCACGTGGTTGTGTAGCGAATAAGGCAAAAATTCTGACGTACGTTTGTGTGGGTTCTTGGAATCGCTAGAATGTTCTCCTTATTGCGTAGATTGTGGGATGATATCATAAGGTATGAAGGGGTGGATACCGATGAGTAGGAAATACCGTTAATAAGCCGGTAGATAAAGACAAAAGTTAATTTGATACGTCTGATCCAAAGAGGTTCTAAGTTGAGTTGTTGACATCTTTGGTAAAGTCTTTGTTATCGAAATATCCCAGAACAGCTTCGGTGAACACTATTTGAACACTTTCAATTTTAATCAGGTCATTATGTCTGCTATTACTGTAAACTAAAATACCATATTCAAGAATGGGTAAGATATATTTTCTGTATAATAACAATCTGGATTCGATATTATTGAAGTTTATCATTATCAATCCGATGAGCTTTCTAGCATTGGATACTGGAGATATAATGTGCTCAGAAAAGTTCAGACTGTTGCTATATCTTAAACCCAGGTCACGAACAGTATTGAGAGGTTTGACTGTATGTTTGTGAATAGTCAGATGTAAGTTAAGGCAGCGGCCAATATAAATAAATCCACTTTTGTCAAAATTACGTGGCAAATTCCACTAAACAGTCCATTCGTATAACTTGTTTATTTCCTCTTGGATTACCACTGAAATATAGCTTTCTTCCGTGAGAGAAGAGAATGGATAAACTACTTTCAAGTCATCACCAAAAAGAGCCTGCTTGATGTTGGAGGGTATAAAATCAACTTTCGATAAATGTCTGAATGTCAGCATTAGAAATGTAATGATGGAGTTTTCAGTTCCAGTTTTATAGCACTGCGAGAAGTGCTTGCTGAATTGTTCGCATATAGTATTTGGGTAGTCAACAATGCTCCAGTTAATTATGAAGAATTTAGTCGTGTCAAGGGAATTTGACTTTACACGGGTTTTAAAAAGCCGAATCATTGATATTTCCGGGTTTTTACTACGTCGGGCTTTATTTTCTATATTCATAAAATACTTACGTTTAAATGAAGCATTTCTGTCGATTAATTTAAATATACTCTGAAGTGCATACACATCGTTCTGCTCGTAGTAGCGGCATTTTAATTTCATCAGTTTTCTTTTTAAAGTATTCTGGCCCTTATTAGAATTATAAGCAACACGGACAATAACTGGAGCAGTGCAGTCAAGACAATATATCAGGTTGTGATATAGATTGAAAAGCGCAATGTCAACATTATTTGTGGTAAAATAAGTTTCCCATGGTAAACATTGAATGAGAGTTTCAGTCCGTTTCCAGGTTTGTTGATCAAAATGTCTGCTCTGGTACATCATTGGAGCCTTAGAGTTCAATTGTATGGCGTTCAAAGAGTGAATAGTACTCAATATAACTCTATGGTCACTCATAAAAAACTCATGACTGGTATGCACTGAAATAGAGTCTATGTTGATTGTGAACATTAAATCAAGTATATTATTCCCCCTGGTTGGTTTTCGGGCCCACAAATTCTGGTGTTTCAACTAGCTTGTTATGTCGACTTGGTACCGGAGTCGAGCCCCATGTAATTTTGGGCAGATTAAAATCACCTCGGATGATTTTAAAGGTATGCGGTTGGTGCGAAGCAATGGACAGGATGTTTGTTAGAAATCTGTCAAACTTAGTATCCACATGAGGTGGCCTGTATATGCATCCCACTAGTAAATAATTTTGGGATTCACGGTTTACAGTAACCCAAGTGGAGTCGTCTATAGCATCAAGGGATTTATCCTCAAATTTGCACGCTTGAATATCTGAACGGACATAGATAATTGAACCGCCTCCTAATCCATAACATCTGCTCACTAGTGACTGATTTCAGGAAAAACTCCCGAAGTTCTAGTGAGAAGCCGTTACCAGTGGAGTTCAACCAGGTCTGTTGTGAGATAGGAACTCACTGAAGACAATGGTGTACGGTGGCGCAACTTCGTGGATTGGTTGAAGTTAGACATTAACGCCGTTGGATGCCGGCTCAGTGGTCTGGTGTTTAAGTGCTCGCGCGCGAAGCCAGTAGGACTGTGTTCGAGCCCCGCGTGGTGCGGGATCGTGGATGCGCACTGCTGAGAAGTCCCATACTAGGATGAAACGGCCGTCCAGTGCTTCCAGGTTTTCAATGGAAGTCTAGCTTCAACTGACTCATGATTTCAATCTGGGTAAACATAGTTATCTGCATTCAAGGAATGGTAGGATATAAATGAATTACATCACGTTTCTGTAATAAGTACAGTGGTTGGATTTACAAGGAATAAAAGAGTTTTAAGATTTTATTGGACAAAGAGTGGACAGTGAACGAAAGAATCAGAAACTCAGAGTTATTATGGTGAAGTATTATAAATCGCAATTGGTAGTTCCATGAATATTCGTAGGATTGTCTAAGGTAAGAGTTGTGTTGCGAGGGGAAATAGATTCAACCACTTTGTCATCATGTGAAATATGTTTACCGTTGCCGGCAGGAAAGCTGGCGGAATTACAAAAGTACTCAACAATAGGTCTGACACAAAATTTATAAGGAAGGATTTTAGATTCATTTCGATAGAAATGTAGAGATGTCTTTAAGCCGTGATATACTGTAACCCTTAACTCTCATTCGTCCACGCCTGAAAGCAAAGTACTGCTGACACTGTACTAGTAACTACGGCCATCTCCGGTACGCACTAACACATGCTTTCTATAACTAATTTTCAGGCCCCGACATTGAGACCACTTGAACAAGCCGTCAAGGCCAACTTGCGGATCAAGAATATTAGCCTCAATCTACACTGTTTTCCGAATTTCTACGTCATTTGCAAACAATAATGTCGATGACGTGAGCAGTTGCGGTAATCCACTTACTTGGTAAAGAAAAATTAGTAGACCTGAGATGGTACTTTGAGGCACACCAATTTTGAGCCAGCTCCCATCCAGATAGTGTCCGATTTACTAATAATAATAATAATTTGTTCTACAATAACTGTCTCGAGATACAGTTTTCACTGTAGTAGGTTACCCGATTGGGTTAATATTTCATGGTGTACACATGTCATAGAGTTATGGGGAATAACGCTCCTCAAACACAGATGTAAATAACATTAGTAAGACCCTTATTGTCAATATGGCAGTTGGTGCGATTTGTGGAGGTTGCTTTTTGATGTGTAACTGGTGGTCGAGAACAAATCCACGTTAACTTGAGAGTTTCTTGGAACCGCAGCCTTATATCCCCCTGAAACCTCTGAGGAATTTATGATGGCGCAGGAAGTCACCTGTTCAATATGTGTTTTCTGTGGCATATAGCAAGGGGGCTGAAAATGAGGGTGGAAAAAAGAGAGGAAGAGAAGCAGAGCAGACACTGTTCGTGGCTAATGAAGTTGAGTCATTGGTGTGGGATTAGACAGCGTACCATCACGCTTTGTCTTCGGTCACAGAAGACGTTTCCTATCCACCAGTTATTATTTAACTCGGGAGCTTCTTCATATGCTCGAAGTGAAAAACCCTATCAAATGTCTTGATGAGATCTATGAATATCACATCAAGAGGTAAAACATTATCTTCGGCTGTTTGTACAGTCAGTAAATAGGTTAAGCATGAATTCTTATTCTGAAACCACTGTTGCTCATGAGTTAATAGACTGTGTGATTTTACGTTACTTTGTAACTTAACTCGAAATAATTTTTCAGGAAAATTAATCACTGTGTTGGTTGGATTGACAAATTGGTTTTGAATAATTTTTTCTGGTTAGCGTTTTTTTAGCGAGTTAGTTTTCTACGGGATTGGGACGCTAACCCCATGCCCAACCCTCCCCTTTATACGGGTTTGAGACCGGCAGTAGCCCCCGGAGGGACTTCAGGATGAGTTTTACAAATTGGTAATTAGACATTATTCGTCTTAATTTATACTTAGAAATATAGGGGTGACTGTAGCATCTTTTCAATGTGTTATATCTAGAGCTTATATTCTTGATATACCGCGTATAACCCTTCCATGGAAGGGTTGAAACTTGTAAGTCTCAATGAGAAGACAGAAGACTAGTGAGAGAACTGTTATTCCAAAGAGTGTCAAATATAGTACAACACTGTCAAGTATTTATAGTTTTTACTAAAAACCATCTGTTATAAGTCGATCTATGACAGCTAAGGGGGCTTGACAAGTTAATAGTTGCTCTACGTCTAAGAGCTCTCTCAGTGACTTTAATTGAACTAATCGTACTGGACTAACAAGGTAATTAGTTATAATGAACATGAAAGACGGAGAGGACGTCACTCTCACCACGTTAGTTATTTGTGATGGCTAACAAGCATGTTGGAACAATTTAGCTAAACAAAAAACAAAGTCAGTGTACATGTATTTCAGCCAAATCCCTGTGTCAATATTTTGTAGCTTGTGTTTATGGCAAAAGTTTGGTTTTTTATTAAACGATGCGTTATTTTATGGACGTTGATGAAGACATCAGTATGGAATGCGGTATATTCAAACATGGTACGTTACGTATAATTGTCGATAAAATTTTCAAAAATACACGGGAAGTTTAGTACTAACGTGATTTGCATTTATCAAACTTTTGATGTGTTCTTACGCAACAAAAGTACCATTTCAGTTCTAAAGAATCTATCCTGAGCTATACGTTCGGTAGATTACTATGTATTTTTTAAAGTTTCAAATGATTCAAATGGTTGTGGACGGAATAGAAGAAGCTTTCGCTTAACAGGCTTCCGTGTCTAGTAGAAGGGGATCACCAAATCCTCCAGGCAGGAACCTAGGTATGTTAACAGTAAAGAGGAAAAGAAATTGGTAAATCATAGTATGATACTGTCCTTGGTCCTTAAGAATAGGTCAAGTTGCCTCTTGAAGGACTCCTGAGAAGTCGCTTGAACTAGCTCGGCCGGCAGCGAATTCCAGCTTTTGACAACTCTTAAGGAGTAGAAGTTGTGTCTACATCCCATCTTGCTATGTTGAGTTTCCAGTTTCTGGGTGTTACCCCTTAGGTTAATATTCGAACTAAGCTTGAGTAGGTGTTTAAGAGGATGTCCAGAAGTGTTAAGAATACTATAAGCCATTAATAAATCACCTCTAAGACGCCTATACTCTAATGGGTAAAGGTCTAGTGAATGGAGGCGTTCTTCGTAAGGCTTAGATTTGAGTCCGCGAACTGATTTCGTGGCTCACCGTTGGATACGCTCCAAAGTGACCTTGTCCTTTTGGAGTGAGGGGGGAGTACTATATTTCCGTACTCTAAATGGGAACGGATAAAACTATTGAAGATTGTATGGAAAGTTCTTCCGTCAAACTGGCCAAAAATGCGCTTCAATGTTACCAGTGCAAGGTTTGCTCGGAAGGCATTTTTGTCACAATCAGCGTAAGACTTTAAATCATGGGGCACCAGGACTCCAAAATCTTTTTCGACTTGGGATACTACTAGAGAGGAGTTTCTTAAGTTATAACTGTAGTCTGCGACATGTCGCAGATGGACTACTTTACACTTTGAAGTGTTAAACGTAAGTCCGTTATCATCTGCCCAACTTTGAAGTCGAGTCAGATCCTCCTGAAGTGCCTGTGTATCGTCTTGGTTGCGTATCTCTCTCCAAAGTTTCACGTCATCGGCAAAAAGTAATAAGTCTGACGTTACCTGTTGAGGAAGATCGTTTATGTAGGTCAAGAAGAGGAGAGGCCCTAATACTGAGCTCTGGGGAACCCCGCTAGGACATTCCATAGCCTGAGATAAAGTGAAATTAACCCTAACCTTAAAGTGTCGATTTTCTAGGTATGAAGTAAGCCAATCGATTAGAGGTGGTTTGATACCTAGTCGTTTGAGCTTATTGATAAGACACAAGTGGTTAACTTTATCAAAAGCTTTTGAGAAATCAAGGTATATGATATCAACCTTTCCCTTGCGATCGAGGATGCTTGTCCATCTGTCCACCGCAGTCAGCAGGTTGGTTATACAAGAGTAACCATTCCTGAAACCATGCTGTTGGGGTGAGAAGAAGTTTAAGGACAGTAGATAATCGTTTAAACCATCGCATATCAGGGACTCCATGAGTTTTGAAGGTAATGACAGAAGAGCCACCGGCCGATAACTTGAAGGTTTATTGCGTCGACCCCCTTTGAAAATTGGTGTGATGTGAGCCAACTTCCAATTTTCCGGTAGTTTGCCTTGGCTTAGCGAGTGTGAAAACATCACGCTAAGCGGCGTTGCCAGGATTGAGGCTGCCTCCCTCAGTATGGCAGAATGAATCATATCCGGGCCAGGAGAAGTATCTAGTCTTAAGTGCTGCAGTTTCCGGAACACCAAGTCAGCGCTTAGGTCCACTTCGGAAAGCCCTGTGGAATTACAGGTGAAACTGTCGTCAATAGAGTTGATGTCAGCCGGCTGAAATGTTTGAGAGTAATGTGCCGCCAGAAGGTTAGCGGCGTCACCATCGTTGTTGGTTGGGCCGTTAAGACCTAGCAGTTGAGAAACTCCTGTTTTGGCTTGACGAAGAGAGGCTGCATAACGGAATAGGCTTCTAGGGTTCGAGGCAAATTTGTCCATAAGCTTTGTCTGATAATGAAGCCTGTCTTCTCTTATAGCCTTCGTGCATATGTTCCTGATATGTTTGAATTGCCTATACGCTCCGTCGTTGTCAGTTCGTTTGTATTCCGCCCAACAGTGCCTTTTACGGCTTAGCAGGCGAAGGGTACGGTTCTTGATTATTGTAGGTGGCTTACAGCTTTTGGGAACCGTTTGAGGAACTGAATGGTTTGTAGCACATAAGAGCGTGTGCAGTAAGAAGTTCCAGTGACCGTCCACATCGAGTTGGGGGTGAACATCCCAAACCACCTGTTGTAAATAGTCGTGTAGAGCTGGCACATTCAGCCGTTTAAAATTCCAACGCAAATTATTGTTGGGATACCTTAGCTTAGTTTTGGTGACAAAACTGAAGGCTATGACGGCATGATCGCTCTTTCCCAGAGGAGCCAGGATTGAGAGGTTGTCAACTAGGAATTCTTCGTTTGTGAATACACAGTCTAACCGCGATGGTGTCTGACTGTTTCTCCAACGAGTTGCCGACCTCACATTTTCATATAAGCCCAAGTCATCGATGAGGTTGAAGAACCGAGCTTCAATTGAGTTGTCGCCTCCAGTATACGTGTGTTCCACGAAGTTGACTCTAGGAAGATTAAAGTCCCCTAGAATCAGGATATGTGTGAAACCGAGACGGGTAGAGCGGGATAGTCCATCCAGCATACGACTATCGTACTCGATGTCAGCAGTTGGCTTCCTGTAAATGACACCGACTAGACACCTCGAAGTGCTAGACAATCTTACAGAGCACCATATGGATTCCTCAAGATTGTTAAATTCTAGGTTGTGAACTTGGTGCACCTCCAAGCAAGAGCTTATGTATATGGCTACTCCGCCCCCAATTCCTGTTGTTCTGTCGTTGCGGAACAAAGTCATCCCTGGTAATGCTAACTCTTGGTCCGAGAACTGAGAAGATATCCAGGTTTCAGATATTCCTATCAGGTGGGCTTTATTAGCGTTGCAAAGTTCACGTAATTCATCCAGTTTGTTTGGTAGACTCGAGGCGTTCATATATAAGCAGTTTATGCTTTCAATTTGGAACGCGTGAGCTTCGTCCTGTTTTTCTGTATGAGCCTTATGTGAATGGACAGGTAGCCCACCCATGTGAGGTTTACCGAGGTGGTAGGTCCTGTCCTTTACACGTTTTTTTATCGTTTAGACAATCCACAAGTGGAATGGTCAGCTCCAACTTGCCTTTGTGCTTGGTCCTGGCTTCATATGGCCTGTCCGGGTGCATGTGGATTCCATGTGGCAGTCGACGTCTGTTGGCACGAAATGCTTCCAGAACTGCAGCCGCCATGTGGGAAGATGGGAAGGTTATCTTCATTAGACGGGGTCTAAGATCACCGTCCTTCTTGGCTAATCTCGTCACATGCTGAGTCAGTATGTGTTTGAGCCTCAAGGACTGTTTGATGAATTTCCATTCCCTGATGTCAGAATTTGATTGAGTAGGGTCTGCATTCTCCGGTATACCTTGCACAATTATGTTTCTTCCGCGGAAAAACTTCTCACGAGATTCTTTAGGGATGTTTCGTATGATATTGCGCTCAGAGAACGGTATATCGGGCAATATTCTTACGTTACCATCTGATTTCAGCAAGTGACTTGCTAGTAAGACGTCCTCTACATCGGTAGCATTCTTAAGTGTTACTCGGAGAAGCCTTGGGTGATTTAGATGCTTAGAGTCCTTTCCTCTAGAGAGCCGGGTGACCATCAAAGGCTCTATTCTAGGAAGTCCTAGCTTCTTGTTCAATTCACCCCAGAGCATCCTGTCGTTTTTGTCCTGCAGACTGAGAGGAAGGTCAGGATTATCAACGAGGTTCATGATAATGAGAGAGTCGTCACGAACTGTTGTTAATTTACCAGGTTTCACGGCGGATTCATGTTTAATGACTTGCTGTTTGGAGGTCAGTGTGCGTTTATGAGGCTTGGGCTCTTTTTTGACCGGACGAACAGTCTTGGGAGTAGACTGTGCGACCAAATCACCAGTTAATTTCTGTACAGCAACACTTGGGTTGCTCGGCTTAGGCGGTGATGCCTGGTTCTTTTGGGCTTTCTTAACTTGGGTCGAATCACCAACAGGGTTTTTGGGAACCACTGTTGAGTTCAGGGACCCTGAGCTGGGAGACCCGAGTTTGCTTAGGGAGTCTAATACCTTCGACGTAATGATGGTGCTGAGCCTCGACACGTCATCATTAGTGTTGATGGATGCTCCATCGATGGTATACCTATCGACATCCCTGTTTTTGTATCCGTCGCACGCTCTTGTTTGTCTACCGGTTTTCTTACTGTCGTTGTCCAAGTTAACTGACAACTTGTTCCGAAGACCTGTCAGTAGGACAATGATGTTACTCAGCAAAACTACAGCATCTGTGCTGCACGTGACACATACCCATTTTTGGTCTGACTTACTGAGTCTGTTGTAAGCAGTTGATGTCAGATCTGTGCATGCTTCGTGGAACCAACCTTTGACGTGTCGAGGCTCAGCACCATCATTACGTCGAAGGTATTAGACTCCCTAAGCAAACTCGGGTCTCCCAGCTCAGGGTCCCTGAACTCAACAGTGGTTCCCAAAAACCCTGTTGGTGATTCGACCCAAGTTAAGAAAGCCCAAAAGAACCAGGCATCCACCGCCTAAGCCGAGCAACCCAAGTGTTGCTGTACAGAAATTAACTGGTGATTTGGTCGCACAGTCTACTCCCAAGACTGTTCGTCCGGTCAAAAAAGAGCCCAAGCCTCATAAACGCACACTGACCTCCAAACAGCAAGTCATTAAACATGAATCCGCCGTGAAACCTGGTAAATTAACAACAGTTCGTGACGACTCTCTCATTATCATGAACCTCGTTGATAATCCTGACCTTCCTCTCAGTCTGCAGGACAAAAACGACAGGATGCTCTGGGGTGAATTGAA